GCTGTTGTTGATGATGATGATGATGAATACTCAAGTACCATTACAATTAATGGGACAATAAATGCCATACATTAAATACATTCAATCATGCGTTTTACTTAAGGGTTGAAATACGGAAATATTAGTTAGGTTACCAGCTCTTTTGATGAAATGTCCACACATCCACATGTGCTGCGTTGAACGAACTCCATACGTTTACTTTTTCGCTTTGTAATAATTCCTTTCAAGCTGAGTTGGTCTGCCATGATGAAACACAAATGTAATCAGCAAATTTCAGATAAATACATACGTCCATATTCGGAACACGAACTCCAAACGGTCCATCACTAGGTATCCGCATACCTGTATCACGTCAGTGAAGGGTTCGGACGGTAGTCAAAATTGACTTGAAGGGGGACATCATGAATAAAACATGTCAATGTGCTTTTTTAACGTAACGCTCGCCAGTAACAACACTCACGTTGCGGTATGCACAAAGCGCTCTACCGCGTTAACTTCGCAAAGGCGGATTTTCATAGGCTGTTTTAGGATCACGTACTTTATGGCTACTGTGCGTAGTGAACTATTGGGTCTCCTACTACTGAATTTAAACTCCCTTAGATTATATCGGATGGAATCTGCACTTGGTGCACCAGAACCCCATGATGTCGGACAGTAAATAAGTCATCATCTCCACATGTAACAATCGGTGGTTACATCGATGCTTAAAAGTTGTCATTTTTCTCTCAACAGACTGTTGGTTTCTTAGCTCTGTCATCTTGAACTGTTACCTATGCATGTTTGTCATTGCTAATGTATACACGGTGCTCGGTTCACTAACGGCTCAAGGAACAATATACAATGTACTCATCATATTAAAAAGCAACTCTACTATTTAGACATGGATTTCACACTTGATCTTCTTGAAAACATTGTGCCTACCTTCGCCTATCCACAACTTGCATGATATTGTTACTTATTCTTCCCTAACGCAGATAAGGGCCACGGTGCTCACAGTAACAACTGCAACCTCAGGTAGGAAAAATTTACTACACATAGAACATGCCTAATTGTAAGCAGCACTGTTGATTATAAAAACGAATGTGTCAACAAAGGCAAAGATTCACAAGCGTTCAATCAATTACACTAGCTCATATGAGCAGTCCCAGCCCACAGGCGTTTGATCTAATCAATTCATCCTAATTAGGCGAAAATCAATTATCCCGATTCGAAGCAGTTACCATCTGACTTGTGAACACTTCCATCTTCTAGGGTGGGATATGAGTGATAGTCTACAGGAGAAAGATAATTTGAGTTAGGCGGCAGCTCTTCGGCTATTGAAACAGCGTGTGTCGTTGTCCCGTTGCTCTATTCATTCACTTCATAGGTTAAACAACGCACCATTTTGCCTTCTTCGTTCACTGAAGTTGGTACAATAATCGATGCAGGCAGTTTGTCAAAGGTAGATGTGCGTTTCCTCTCTTTTTGGGCTAATTTAATTTTTCTCACCGGAAAACCCTTTCGTCAAAAACGCGTTATCCAATTAGCGCCCGCTTCCGTCAAAAAGTTTCGGAGCAAAAAGTGTTTTGTTAACACACAACTGGGTAGCTTTGTTCCCGAAGGAAAAATTAAGCAATGGGCTCAAACCGACTGTCGAAATCTTCCATCAATCAAGGCTATGTCATTCCATGTTTTGTGCTTCGTTCTCGAGAGACAGCTGACTAAAAATCAACATGGTTTTTTAACGAAAATTTAAACGAGACAATAAATTAGGCTATACAATTAAAACATTAGATTTTGATTCCAGTCACCCATAACCATCCTCCACTCATCCAAACAGGATGTCAGTGAATGAAATCTACCGAAAATTACCAACACATTTTGTTCTGTCGATAGTCAAATTTCGTGCTATATCCCAGTTAGTTTGCAACTTACGTAGCGCAGCCAACGTCCTCCGTGGCTCAGTAGCTTAAGCTGCTGGCTAGTGGGCATCTACATCGTCTTGTCATGGGTTAGATCCCCTAGTAGGGGACTAAGGGAGTGCGCACCATTAACGAGCCCCAAAAGGACGAAACGCGCCTGGTTCTTTTCTGGACTAGGCTGTGCTATATAGCTTGTGAACTGCTGAGAAGAAAATATTAAAAACTGTAGTTTGTTTCTTTGTGCCATTTTTAGCTCACTTCATTATGAGACCATTTGATGCAATAGCTCAACGAACTCTAATGGCAAGCGGATCAGCCCGATGGCTTTGAA